GTGAGGAGAACGTGGAAGACAGACCATATAGCAGTCTGCTAACAGAATATTTTGGTACTGAATCATGGATGAGGAGGGGGGATATCGGACATCTCCTCGTACATAACATACTGTCACTGTCTGGTACTAAGATCTGATCAGTGCCAGTCAGTGCCGCCTATCACTGCCAGTCAGTGCCACCTATCAGTGCTGCCAATCAGTGCCACCTATCAGTGCCAGTCAGTACCACCTTTCAGTGTGCATCAGTGCCACCTATCAGTGCCCGCCAGTGCCGCCTATCAGTGCCCGTCAGTGCTGCCTATCAGTGCCGCCTAACAATGCCAGTCAGTGCCACCTAACAGTGCCAGTCAGTGCTGCCTATCAGTGCCAGTCAGTGCCGCCTATCAGTGCCACTTATCAGTGCCATATATGAGTGATGCCTTTCAGTGCCCATCAGTGATGCCTGTCAATGCCCATCAGTGCCACCTACCAGTACCTCCTCATCAGTGCCCATTAGTGCCACCTATTATTGCCCATCAATGCAGCCTATCAGTGCCCATCACTGCAGCCTCATTAACGCACATCAGTGAAGGAGAAAAATCACTTATTTACAAACTTTTATAACAAAAACAAAGAAAAAACATTTTTTTTCAAAATTTTCAGTTGTTTTTGGTTTGTTTAGCAAAAAATAAAAAACCCAGAGGTGATTAAATACCACCAAAAGAAAGCTCTAAGTGTGACAGCGCTGAAAGCTGAAAATTGGCCTGGGCAGGAAGGGGGTATAAGTGCCCTTTAGGCAAGTGGTTAAAAAGGTGAACTTATCCTTTAATGATGGTCTGCCTGCATCTCTATAGAGACATTAAACTTAACTCCAGAAAAAAAAAAAGCTAAATACACATTTTCCCTATATGTGAACACTTACATAGTAGAAGATTTGTAATACCAATTCTGGCACCCTCACCTGACAGCACAGCCAGGTTGGTGACACCGCTTTTCACTATAGTTAAATTATACAGTTAGTTCACAGACTTGCCCCAGCCTGCTGACTAAACAGTAAAGACTCTATTTACACTTTGTGGTACATAAATAGTTAAATATAATTTCAAATGAAGAATGCACAGCATTAGCTCAAATTGAAAATATCAAAAAAAGATGAACATTTTCTTTAAGAAATACATGCTGAACCAAAGGGGATCACAAACACCTTTGAATTTGTTTGTAGAAAAAGCTAAATAAAGGAAATATGTAATAAAGGATATTGTAAAGAAAGAGTCTGTTAACGGAGCCCCCAGAAAAGAAATTTACAACATAGAAATGATGCCTAGAGACCACTTGCTCCATTGTGGATAATCAATTTCCTCTCAACAGTTCCAAGGTATAAAAGTTCACAGTATTCCATTTGTAACTGATGGCAAATTCTCCTTTCACTTTACTCCTCCAACGTACGTAAACATATATTTTATATTTTAATTTATAAAAAAAAGGCCAAAAATGCATAAACATATCTGCCAAATAAATCTACACAAGTACGGAGAACTGGAATTTGCTTCATAAAAACAACTGCTTTCCTTGAGACAGAATATAGAATTTGGTGTCGTTTATAGTTATATATTGCTTTTCCATACCTTTGGCTACACATAGGTAGCCAAATGTGGTTGGAAAATTGTAGGGTGAGAGAACTGGAGAGCAGAACAATAAAGTTGAGGCAAGAATATAAAATCTAGCCACAGAATGTCAGGCTGTTGGGGACTGATCCAGCAAGCTTGGCTCAACTGCAAATCAGAGTATTTCAGAGCACAGTTTGTGAATAATTGTTAGAATTGTTTTTTAATAAAAGTGGAAACTTTCATTTTCACTGAACATCTCCTGCCTGTTGTATTTATAAAGTAGAAATTCCATAGGTTAGTGTAGCTCCGCCTTTCCCCATCTGACCTTTAACAGACAACTATAGTAAGTACAGGTTTTTATCACATGGCGCTTCCAGGCTGCATCCTTCAGGTTTGTCACGGATCAGCTGGAAAGCTGATTTGTTTCCTTATAGTCCTAAAGACATGTGGACTGCTCCTACCATGCTATGGCAATGAAAGTGAACTGTTACCTGTAGTCCCATTTACTGATGGTCTGTTCTCACCAGATTCAGCCTTAGGCATTGCCGAGTTCCATCTTCTGTCTGATATAAAACCAGTTTTCTGCCCAGACTGACAATCAGTGACCCTATTTAAATGAGAAGTTTAGGAATAAAAAAAAAAACATTTTTACTCACCTAGGTGGATGCAGCATCAGTCCGAGAGATCAAAGACTATGTCAGCCACCAGCTCTCTGCTCTGTCCCTCCAGCACTCACTGGAGCACCAGCTGTTGATTGGGAAGGATGAGCCAGCTCCAGGTCAAGCATTTGGGTGAATCAGTGCCGTCAGCCAACAGTGGGTTGTCGGTTGAGAAGGGATTGCAGGATTGCAGAATAAAGTGCACTCGTGTGATCCATAGGAGAAGCAGGGCCAAAAGAGCTTTGCCTCTACTTCTCCTTTAACCAGTTCCCGCCTGGCCAATAGCAAAGTGACAGCCGCACAGGACTTTCATCGATCTGGGTGGGCATCATATGACGTCCTCCCGGATCACCGCCCTTGGGTGCGCCCGTGTGGCTGTGCTGTGCCAAGATTTGTCACTGGCTATGTCCATCGACAGAGCTGATGACTGGTTTGTGTCCCGGCCCATTGCCGAAACCATGTGACCGCTGTAACCAATCACAGCAGGTCACATGACAATTGTAAACAATAGATGGCCTGTGTTACTAGCTGTTATTGGTCACAATGATCACATGGGACAGGCTGGACCAATCACAGCTAATGAAAAAAAAAAAAAACCTGAATGAATTGATTTCATTCAATTAAATGCTTGCCTATAGCAGTGAAATTTACTGCTATAGGCAATCATAATGTTAAAAAAAAAAATAAAACAATACTGATTACTTCCCCAGAGTAGTATAATGTTTTATTGAAAAAAAAAAATCATTAAAAAAAGAAAAAAAATTTAATAAAAAATAAAAATAATTGAAAACAAATATTATGTATACACACTAATTTGAGTTATTTTCACCAAAAGAAATATAGCAGTATACATTTTGGCCTAAACTTTTGAAGAACAATTATTTATTTACAAACGTTTATAACAGAAACAAAGAAAAACCTGGGGTCTTTTCGTTTATTTAACAAAATAAATAAAAAACCCAGTGGTGATTAAATACCACCAAAAGAAAATTCTAGTTGTGTAATTTATGGCTGTTTGCCCCTGGAAGTTTTCTCTCCTGCTGACTGTCCTTTGAGTCCTGGTTGGGAGGACCATACCGTCTGCCTTTCCATGGTGATTGAATCAAGATGTTGGTGCTACCTGTGTGGATATATATGCTGGGGTATTTTTCTGAAATTCATTAGAACTGAAGAAGTGGCTTGGATAGGCTACAAATGTCTTAAAAATTACCAAACAAGTCTAGTTGGAAGTGATAGACTACCATGAGATATACCATACCCTGGATAAATGAGCATTGTCATAGATATGTTTGTATAGTCATAAAAATGTTTTTCTAGTTTTGGAAAGAATAATAAAATGTTAAAACCCCTGTTAGTTTATCTTTTTGCTGTCTCTGTTGCATCAAAGAGTTTTCCCTTTGCTAACTGTCCCAAGGACTCAATAGGAAGTGAGATGAAATATCTTGAAACTGAAGAGAATTCCCGTTAGATGGATGTCACTGGTACAGGTATCCCCATGGTAAGATCTACCTCTTGTTATGGTTGCAACTTCAAAATGTTGGATTTTCCATTACTATCGGTCTTGGTGCAGGCCACCAGGACAAACTGAGAAGATAGATCTTCTCAGCAGAGACATAGACAACAATAAAAATATACCAGGCGCTGTAACCCTTTCCTACTCCATATATACACTTTAACATGCAAGGTGAACTGTTTAAACATATTACGTATTATAGGTTTATAGACTGATTTTGAGGATGTTTTGAATTTTTACATTAAAAAGTTGTATAGGAATTAATGTGGTCTGTAATTTAATATCCCTTCTTATTTATTTTATATCTAAATGAATTGTAAAATGTTTAAAAATCAGAAATCACACAAGATGAACTCAAAGTAGTTGTGAATTCTTTTGTGATCAGAAGAAAAATGTCAACCTAGAATTATGGAATGATACCATAATAACGTTGGCTAAATTGTGGAGGTGTAGTAAAGAGCATACAAACTAGAATATTAATGTGACTAAACTTGGAAACCAAAACTTCTGGATAAAGACATAGAATCTTCAATAGTTAAAGAAGAAGGCACAGTGAGTTATAATTGAATTTTGGATCTCTGTAGGCATTCATGTTTTTATGTAAATAGTGACTGGATGAGGAGCTCAGTCCCGAAGATTAGCCTGCTGCTCAAGTGCCAGCCTAAAACCCAAGAGGTTCTTGTCTCATGTTCCAAAACCTACGTATGGCTGAAGTATCTCCATTCCAAGAATAATTGATGAACTACAAGGTCTCTGGCATAAAGAAGAGAAGAAAGGGCAGTTTTTAAAGACATCCAATCACAACTGGATTCACCATAATTTGAACGTTCAGTATTAAAGTGGTATTAAACCGAAAAGCAAATATTTATTATATTGCAGCTTAACAATTCTTAGGTGTGATGGCTGCATTCGGTTTTTAGTTTTTTTCCCCTTCATTTTCACCTGGTAATCTGACCAGTAAGTCTGTTGTTTTTCAACAGAACAAGTTATCTTGCAAATGTATCAGTTAGGGTTTTGAGACAAGCCTTTTATCACTGGCAGGGGTGCTTACAATGATCAGCTTTTATTTATTCCAGTAAAACCTTTATCCCAACAGGAAAAAAAAACTGTTGCTGTAAATGCTTGTGTAACTGCAATGTGAGCTGGAGTTTGGTTTCCATTTGTTAGTGTATCTAAATCTGCTAGAATATCTAACACTCCCATCCCCCAGATTCAAAATGCTGCTGTTTGCTATGTCCCCTGTGCTCCTTCATCCAGAGTGAGGGCACACTAATACAGGAGCAGGGGCGGACTGACAACTCATGGGGCCACCTGTGTCCTTGCCCAAACTAAAACAAAACCTATGAAAAAGGTATCAGGGGCATCTCATGGGGCCCCCTACTGACCCTGGGCCCTCGGGCAGTACCTGAGTTTCCAAATGGTCAGTCCGCCCCTGTACAGGAGGTGTGTTACTAGCCAAATCATCAAGTGAAAACAGAGGGGGAAAAGCCTAAAAAGGAAAACTAATACAACTACCACATTTAATGATTAGTAAGCTGCAAATATTAAATTTTTGGTGTTGGGTTTATTACTGATTTAAATAATTATAACTCTGCATACTTATTTGTAGCAAAGTTATATTTTAGTTTTCACTTTATTTCACTTAGCTTGCCTTAAGCTGATTGTTTGCAGTGGGAGTCAGAGACGAGGGTTCACCTGAGGTTTTACTGTTATTAACCCATCAGTTGGTTTACTTCATGCTGATAGCACATGCTGTCTTTAAGTTGCTGAGTGTGCATAATAGCATCAAATAACAGAGTATTTAATTGTTTACATATCTATTAACTACTGGACTTTGTAATATTATATTATACAGACTATAACAGCCAGTGTTAGCAGCATGAGGTTAGGCAGCTGAAAGAACAGCAACTGTTAGAACCCAGATGGCCTCTAAGCTCTGGCATTCAGGGCTGGAAGCCAGCCTTAGAAAAGATTTTTTAAAAAGCCAAACGATGTTACAAATATACACATTTAATACGTAAGAAAGAAAAGTTATAGATACTGTATTTAGGACTGAACATTAACTTTCTTGCATAAATCCCATATTAACTCTGCTAAGATCTACACAACCTGCAAATGCCAGGCTGGCACCTTTGTGGTCAAGAAGGTGATGGAGAAACCAAAGTTGAGTAGTTATTCATGAAAGTGTATTTAAAGAAAGCCTTTTTGACCTTTTTTACATTTTAGATAGAATGTGGAAGGGTTGGTCTGGATGTCTTTTGTGTCCCTGCTGTGGAGACCAGTGGCACTAATGACCATTATTTCCAGTATAGAATTCAAAGTTAAGTGGAGTGGTGGCCTGTTTTGCTGACAATGGTCTAAGCAGCACATCCCCTTGCTTTGGAGAGATTTCCTCCTACTTCCTGCTATGTTTCTGGGACAAAAAGCGCTACTTTACCTGCTTGTAGTTGATGACAAACCCCAGAAAGCATTGTGGAGCTTTCAGACCCACTGGCTTTATCTCTTTCAGTTTTGTAGAGGCATCGTGAGGTCCAATTGCAGGACAGGATTTTGTGATTTTTTAAAAAAAATGCTTCTTCAGTTTCATATAGAATCATAGCCCAAAACCTCTAGAGAAATATCCTTTTATGAAATGACGGGATTTAAGGCAAAGATTAGAGAAAAACAATGACGTAGCATTACAGGAAGCTTTTGGAAGGTGGCCAGGAATGATCGATATCAAAGTTATGACTATATATTATACTGATAATCCTATGTATTTAAAGCTGAACTCCAGAATTACATATAGTCTTGCACAGTTCTACAGGTTCCTCTCCTGTGCTGAAATTGCTTATTCTGATTTCACTACACGCTATGAGCTTCTCACAGTGTACAATAAAAGCTGCAGCACATTAGATAGCTAAACTGTAGGCAGGGCTTAAGTTGCCCTAGTGGGGACACTAAGAACTACACTTGCTTATTGCCTAGGTTCTGGGCAGTAAATCAGCATTAAGGCATAGCTGCAGACTTAGAAGCAAGCTGTAATGAACACAGAGACAACCCTCTAGAAAACCGTAGCTAACTGAATTTAGGAACCAGTACCTCAGAGCTTCTACTCGCATCCACCAATCCAGCAATTCCTGTCACCTCATTTCCAGTGACATTTCCAATTTTTGCTACTGAATACAAAAAACTAACTCCACCACAACTACAAGCCTGTTTTCTTCCCGGGGCCCCTCTATATAACTCTCTCCTTTGATTCCCAATCTAGGCAAAACACCCCACCACTACCAGAGTAACCATCACCTTATACCATGTCACCCATCTCCTGGCTGGTTGGCTGCCTTAAGCAATGATCAGGGGTGCACTCAAACCACACCCAAAAAAGCCTATAAAAAGTACCAGGGGCATCTCATGGGGCCCCCTACTGACCCCGGGCCCTCGGGCAGTGCCCGAGTTCCCAAATGGTCAGTCTGCCCCTGGAAATGATACATGTATGGTTATCCCTAGCAATGGCACTATAGCCTACACTAGACAGCAAACTACATATTGGACTAAAAATGTACTGCATCTACTCTAACCTACAGTCCCCTTTTCACAAGCCCTGTGTTTTAGATGCGCCATGCAATGCACCACTTAGACTTCAGACAAGGCATTAAAGAAATACAAACAGTCTTTACTGAAGTAATGCAAACATACAGTAACAGTCTTTGCAAAGCACCTTCTCATATAATCCTGTACAGAGGTGTTCTCTAGGTGCCTTAAAGTGACTGTGCCTTTGGCACATGGCAAGTTCATGTAAGCAATCCATTCAAGGCAAGAGTCCATTTAGGCAATAAATCCACAAAAGCAGCGACAGTCCCTCAGAGTTCAAGAACTGGTGGCAGCTATAAGTCCATGAAAGTCATCAGGCTCCATACCCCGCTGGGGAACCCCAACTGGACTCCGATCACCCCCCCAAGGGGGTAACCACTCCAGCAGAGTAACATCTACACTTACTGGCAGCATTTCCCCAGGCAAGTTTCCCGGGGCACAGAAGAGCCCCTTTTTATGTAAATCTCTAGAAAATCAGCAGCAAAATATAGCCATTCAAGTCCTCAAAGCCACCACACATCTTCATTATAACAAATCAGTTGAGAAATAGCACAGAAAACCCAGGGAGCTGCAGAACATGTAACCACAGCAGAAAACCTTTTACTTGTTCTGTAGGCATCTACCTACAACCCTTATTTACTGGCTGGAGAATGTCCAACAAATATAGCCATTTCATCTTCAGACTAACTGTCCCCAGACTTCACACTTTCAATAATTGTTTTTCAAAAGCAATAAGCTGAACCTACCTGGGTTTGGTTTGAGCAGGGTCCAGAAAACATGACTAATGTTCAGGTGCCAAATTCGAACTCCAATGTCAATGGAAGCTGAATGTTAGAACAAATTCTGGCCATTTTCTATGCTAATAGGAAAAGATTATCAAACAAATGATGTGGGGGGCTGGGCACTGGGAGCTAGTACCAAAGCAGAAGAAAAAAATAATTATTTAATTTGACTGGGAGCAGTGGTTTTAGTAATGCTTAAAGTGAAACAGTAAAAATGCAAAACCTTATTAAATAACATGCTTGGGGGATGGACAGACCCTGTTTGTGAAGTGGCACATCTGTGTGATGTATACAACCTACTACAAAACAAAAAGTGCTTTTAAATTGCTGGCAAAATGACAGCTCCCAGCTGCTTCGTTCTGTTTATAAACAAAGCAGCCAGGGATTTCTTTCATCTATACTAGATTCTTATCCTAAATGGGGGTCTGGTATTGATGTTTATGGGTGACCCCCACATATGAGGCACTTCAAGCCTGGTATGAATTCTACGGGGACCCCACAGTCAAAAACTTACCAGGCCTTTATTTGAGCATGCAGAATGGCAGGCCAGGAAATGAGGAACAAGTATATGTACCCCCCATCTTGAACCATACCAGGTTGTGATGTCATTAATAATTTATGATCATGTCCATATATGGCCAATCAGGTCACCAGGGAAATCCCACCCCTTTGAATAAATCAGCTATCATCCTCCAGACATGTCAAATTTTTTTTTTGCGTGGAATTTCCTTCCTAATACACACACACACATTTTTTTACTTTAAAAAATTTGGGAACTTGTGTTCAGACTGAAACTTAAACGTATCCCTAAATTTAAGTTATTTCAATTTATGGAGGTCCAGCATCACATGTGGGCTATAATTAAGCCTGTCTACATGCAAATGCAGCCCACCTAGAAAAACCCACTTCCACCGATGAAGGCATTTTGATATTTGCATAACTTTTCCCAAGAACAACTCATTGCTTGCGTCAGGGCTGAGGGCTCATGAGAGGAGTATTGAGGTAGGGTGTGATGTTTTCGGGAAACTATGTACAAACAATGTGCTAGCGGCTACCATATTATCTGTGCTCGCCTCATATCTTGTGTTATATATGTACTGCATCCTGCCAGCTCTTTCCACAAGCAATGGTGTGCCTGCAAAGCAGTAAGAAGCACAGAGACCCACGGATGATCAATGTATTGAAAAAGGATTTTTTTTAAAGCATATTCATGTTGATGATCAGGGTGCAGGAACCAGGTATGGTAAAATATAAGCATATTAAAGTTCAGATTTGACACTATCTCTCATCCATCAGCTTCCACCAAGATATTTTTTTTCTTAGTAGTTATCTATTTTAGGGATATATGTACTCACTGTGTATAAATGCCCCCTTTACTACAATGATCAGCATGAATCAATTCTGACAAGCTTTCCTGACACCAAGATAAAAATGGTGATGGGCGAGGGACCTCCAGCAGATTGACAGCCTCAGCTCTGTTTCTGTGAGCTGTGTGGAGGGGGGGTTCTCTTCCCTCCAATCAGCTCTCAGAGTTCTCCTCACTGAGCTCTACAGAGTGCAAATTCAGCTTTTTTTCTGAATTCTCACACAAGCTGTATAAATTCAGCACTTTGAACAGATGTAGAGAAAAGAATACTGCAGATAAATAGGTACAACCTATGTACAATAATTTGTTTAATCCCTGTTGATCTCCTGAGACCAGTCACTTCACTGGGTACATTTAAGGGCTAACAACCACTTTAACTTAAAAAGGCCCTTAGCATTTGTGGTCAGTTGAAAAAATCCAATATCTACAATAGTGATAAGCCAAACATGGCCATATTGTACATTGCTGCTTAAATGCTCTATTTGTACAAAGATGGTAGGTGTACTTATCCTTTAAATTAATTTAAACTTTGCCAGTCTCCTCTCCAGTAATATACCAGCTACCACTATGGCACTATCTTTGTCCATGCTCTCTATTTTCATTTTCAGATTCAGAAGACAGACATTCATGTGTATTGCTGAATATTTTTTAAAATATTCACCTAATTGGATAAACCCTCTAAGAACATCATTACAAATCTTAAGTCTGTATTTGGAAGGCATAGTTTAATGAAAGACATTATGTCAGACAACAGATTTTGGATATTGTTCCAGACAACATGTCTTTATTCAGCAGAGAATGCATACTTGAGCAAAAAATCTTGGAATTTAACTAGTTCATTCTAGCCCAATGAGCCATCTGTCTACATGAAAAGTTGAGTGGGTTTTTTAGAGTGTAAACCTTTTCTTCAACAAGTCATTCAGCTGTTGATCCACCCCCCCCCCCCCCCCCCCCCCAGCACTTCTCTTCCATCTACAGAATACACCCACCTCAGGAACAAATACCTGCTTAGCTATTGATGGTGACTAAAAGGAAACATACTTTCTTTTTAATGGTAATGGCTACAAAATTGAAAACATATAATAGTGCAGCACAGCATAAAAAATACAAAATTTGCATATAAATGTAATACACCATAGCATAGGATGTTACTATGTGTGTATTAAAACATAGTCCACATATAGCAATCCGTCACCACCTTGTCACACTGTGCTGGAATCGTCAAAAAGAAAATAACGGGTCCAGTTGACTAGTTCAGCTCCTCATCCCAGAAACATAAAGATTGATAAAAAAAGAAGAATATTGGGATTTTAAACAGTGCTGAAAACCTCCCATCAGAAAGTACTCATAAAGACCTTTTCATAAAACACATTTTTGTATTGCAAAATTCATTAAAATATCTCAGGGTATAATCCCCTAAAACACACACATGTAAAAATAAGCCCAAAAGCAGCTCAGCACCCCAACATCATCTCCCCTGGGCATATATTATATTATTTGTTTTGCAAAAACAATAAATTCCAGAAATAAGGAGGTGTGGGATTCAACAGATGATATCCCAATGCATTTTGCAAATAGCTTCCTCAGGGGTTCAAGGGGTGCATTTGGCTGTAGTTGAAAAATAACCCTCAAGGGATATTTAACCTGAGCTGATGTATGCCCCACAGAGCACGACTGTTGAGGTCAGAAGATGGAATATAGGAGATGGACCCAGTGCCCAGAAATCCAATCCGGAAGCCCCGGAAGGCCAAGCATAGAGAGGCAAAACCACAAATGACCGGTGCACATCTTAATCTTGATTGTACATGTTTAAACTCAGTGGAAAAAGGAACAAAGGAACACAGCGCCTTTAAGTGTGCTGTAGTAGTATTTAATAAAAAGATCAGTAGTAACTCACATCTTAGAAATTAAAATCAGGCTCAAGTGGTGAAGAGGTAAAACGTCTTATACCAGATGTTTGGGGTGACTGTACCAGAGGGAGATAGCCTAGGTCCACCAGCAGATGGTGCTATGTATGTATAGCATAGGTGGTGAACCCTGGCAGAGTCTCCAAGATGCCCAAGGTCGGTCACGTTCGGTGTCTGACGTCATCAATGTGCGATGTGTTTCTGAGCATGTACGGGACAGACAGGCAGGCTGCATCTGGCATAAGACGTTTTACCTCTTCACCACTTGAGCCTGCTTTTAATTTCTAAGATGTGAGTTACTACTTATATTTTTATTAACTACTACTACAGTACACACTTGTGCATGTTCCTTTATTCCTTTTACTGCATAGTACGCTTTGCTCCATCACAGCTTGCCCTCAGTGCCTACTTGACTATACCTGCCCATTGAACTTCATACCATCTACATGGATTACCGCACCATGCACCTGTCATTTTCCTTTTAAACTCAGTGGAAGCTTCTCATATGACCTGTATGAGAAGCTAAAAAGCAGTCCATATAGCAGTGCTCATCCAAACTGATAATGAAAAGCCATCAGCTAGAGTAAAAAAAAACCTCAATCAGTCACAGTTTATTATTATGCATAAAGCATAAATGCAACAGCTTACATACTGAGGCTCCAATTCAGCAAAGTGCAGTGGCAGATAGGACAAATGCCCAAGTCTCAATCCCAACAGGCAGAACAGGTGGATGGATGGTCCTGGGCAGAGATAGATGAATCACAGCCCCCCGAGGTGGTGGATAAAGGTGAGGATGCCGGGTGACTCCCAGATGAATGGGGGAAAAAAGAGCGTATCTGGCAGCCTTAGGATTCCCGGAGATGGCACAGCCGTGGACTGGAAGTGACATCTTCTGGAAACTGGAAATGACATCAGAATATTGATGGAAGCGATCCAA